TACTAGAGGAACTAGCTAAACCCTATTCAATATGACACTAAATGCATAACAATTTGACTAAATAAACGCTTCAAAGATCACACACGGCAAGTGAACAAACAACCATTTTCAATGGTTACCTAGTCACTGAACCAAATTCTTAAAAACCCAATCCTAAATTTTCCAATCATACCACCACAACAATCGTCACAAAAACACATATAACCAAGCCCTCTGGGAAACTATGAGCGGTGATACATAACTAGTTCCTCCTCATCTGAAGCACAATTTTCGCTTGGCTATTGAATCACTGACTACGTTTACAACACTAATCATACCCAACCATTGACTTACAATTCACAATCTGATCTCTCTGTTTCTACATAGTTTTTTTTATATATACTGAATACAAAGAATGAATCAATCAATCTTAACTACATTTGCTTTTACTTTTGTTCATCAAATACATTCAAATAATTTGTTCCTTGCAAGTTACAACAGCTGCAAAAATAAATGCTTATGGGGTTGTGCAGTGTGGTTGCCATACGACAAGAAAACCCGAATGCGGGTTCTACTCTTTTCGCTATTGTCATCAAGTCCCAACATAGATATTCATACATGGATCATACTTGTATAGGTCGAGCACAGAGAATATCAGAGCTCCCATTGATGAATTAAGTTAGCTGTGGTTACCTGGTTTAGAATATTTTCCAATCGATTTCAAGGTGACTGCATTCTACTGAGTCCTGGACTTTATCCAAGGCTCTCTTCCGGTGTTGCAGCAAAGCATCACTCTGATTCATCTCCTCGTTTTTCTTCCTCCTCGGTAACTTTCTTGAAAACATCTTCCATTTTGCTTCAAAGGACGAAGCTGAGGAATTAAAAATAAAAATAAAAATTCAGACCCCTGATTCACAGACATATGTTTCAATTCTTACAGATAAAGAAAGATGGTGTTTTTTTTTGCTGGTAAGAATTAGTACCTTGGCTAAGACAAGTGAATCCATTGATGATACAGGCACAAAGCCAAGGTCTTCCTGCACTTGAAGCTTTTGCACCGCCTCTGATTTCACCATTGTGCTGCTTTAATCTGCTAACAAAAAAAGTCACAATCTTACATACGAAAACGAAATATGATTCGAGGAACGGAAAGAGAGAAGAAAAGATGACGAACCGGCGAGCGAAATCGGTGGTGATGCCAACATATGTTTTGATGGGTTGGTTGGTAGAGAGAATGAGATAAACGCACCAGGGTTTGGGATTGGGGATCTTCGAGTTCTCTTGCGAGGAAGACGATGAAATCTGAAATTGGGTTCGAAGATTGATCGGAGCTTTAGGGTTAGGGTTGTAATCGCGAAGCTTCACGGACGGGAACGTCCTAGAGATCAACTTCGTCATCTCATCGTCACGTTTTGGCAAAATTAAGACCGGGCTTGATTCTTTGTGCTTTTTGGGATTGATTTGATTTTTTAGTTATTGGTTTGGGATTGAAAAAACTTTGTTTAAAAAAAAAACTTATTTAGGTGCCTGGCACTCCTTTGAAGTATCTATGAAGCAAATAGGCTTGATGAGGGAAGGTATGAGGAAGGAGATAGACCAAAGAGGTATGGAAGCAGAGGAAATATTTTCTTGGATTGTCAATCAGCATTTGTGTATACTCTATGAAATCAATATATTGGGTATAGCTTAATAGGATTAAAGCCTCACCTCATAGATTGGAGGTTTTGGAACCAAACCTAAGTCCACTATTTCAAGCCATTTGGACAATGAAGACCATCCCCAAGCTTCTGAACTTCATGTGGAGATGTCTTACCAACATCTTGGCAGTGGTAGTCAACATGGCTCATAAAAGGATTATAAGAATTAAAGATTTCCCTAGATGTGGAGACAAGGAAGAGACCGTTAACCATGTTTTATTCCAATGCCCTTTTGCTAGGGTAGTGTGGACCTCGTCTCCACTAGAGCACCTTTTCAACCCATTGCTTTTGATTCCATCTATTTAAACATGGCAGAGAGACTGTTAGGGAAACCTTGAAGTAGCAACTAGGAGCAGAGGAGAATGCAAATTTTCCCTTGGCTACTGTGGAAACTGTGAAAAGCTCAGATTGATCTATGCTTCTCAAATATCCAAGTGGAAGCTCATCAATTGGTGGAAAGAGCTACCAGAGATGTAGAGGAATGACTCTCGGTATTTTCTAAACCATCTCCACAAACTGTTCCAGTCTCACAGAGAGTCGTCATATGGATGTTTCCTTCTCCAGGTATGTTCAAGTGTAATGTTGATGCAGCTTGAGAGTACCATAAGGAACAATGTGATGTTGGCTTGATTCTTAGAGATGAGAAGGGTCAAGTCATCTGGTATGCTGCAAAGGTTTATCCCAAACTGCTATCTAGTCTTGAGGTAGAGGCTGCAGCAATGGTGTGGACAATGAATTGTGTAGACAATCTTGGTTTCAGAGAGGCGATCTTTGAGAGTGACAACAAGTCCCTCATCCAAGCTATCTACAAACTAAAGGACTGGCCACCTATACCATAGAAATCCAACTCACTTGAAGAAGTTTTTTTGTAGACATCATCTGTATTCATGGGTAGACAAGCCAATATATGAGTTGACACAATAGCCAAATATGTAACGTCTTGCCCTATTTACTATGCTTTACTTGATTGCAGTAGCCCCTTGGTTGCATCTAAGTGTTGAAAGGGAGAAGCCTAACTTAAACGGTTTCAATATGAATAAAATATGTTTGAGGAAAAAAGTAATTTGTTTACTATTATTTGCAAAGTGTAACTATTGAAAACGTTTATTTGTTATATTTTTTTTGTCACGAACACATGTCATTATTGATTACATAAATATATATTCTGTATCATGAAACCAATAAGGAATAGAAGTACCGATAAACAAGAAAATAGTATTCCGGGTACGTGCAGACTTCGCAAGCAAATCCGCTTTCTTATTATTTTCCCGTTGCCGGTAGATAAGGTCGAATTCTGGGAAAGACTCCCTGAGTAGTGGTAGTTCCCGTAATTCCGGTTGGGAACCAGGCCAGTCATGTGGTGCTAACACCATACTTACTAGCTCCTTGGAGTCAGCTATAAAAAACTGAGCAAAAGCGTTGTTTCCGAAGTAGACTCTTAATAGCCCAAAGTAGTCTATGTAGTTTGGTATGCAGTGGCGAGAGACTCTGCCGATGACCCTGGAGCCCCAACAGGTCAGTAGTTCCATCTTGTAGCTGCAACACCCATCTAGTTCCACTAGTCCGTTCTACCATCTTCCAAGATCCATCCACTAGGCAGGAAAACGTAGGTGTACCCTGTGGCGTTTATGTCTCTCTCAAAGCTCTAGTTGGTGGTCGAGGTTCTCTATTATGTGCCAGGAACCATTCTCTAGTTTCTTTCTTAGCCAG